AAAAACATGGCAGTCGCAGAAAATGTCAAGTTGGTGTCATTTTTACTCTTTAGAAATGTCAAATAAAAATTGTCATCTTGGTAAATGTAATGTCAAGACAGTGACATTTTTTTCTAAATCAGTGTTCAATAACATAGCAATTATGCCATTTTCAGGTCCAATTGGTGAAAAAGTGGAAAATGTCAAGTTGGTGTCATTTTTTACTCTTTAGAAATATGAAATAAAAATAGTCATCTTGGTAAATGTAATGTCAATACAGTGACATTTTTTCCAAATCAGTGTTCAATAATATAGCAGTTATGCCATTTTCAGGTCATTAGATGGAATTAGATGGAATTTATTAAAAATGAGTATCTAAAAGAGAAGAAAAGAGTAAACGTGGAAGAAAGAAAATATATCGAAGCTTTAAAGAAGAAGAAGAAGAAAAATTAAAAGAAGAAGACGCTTACCTGGGAAAGTTGCAGAGGTAATGCAGAGCCATCCTTCAGTGCAACTTCTCAAGTCGCAAATGGAAGAAGAGTGGCTTTGCAGGGCAGTTTTGGTACTCCATCTATATTTTAGTCCTATGCGATTAAACGGAAAAAGTGGTAGTCCTACAATGAGTTTTTTCTTAAGTTGTAGTCCTATTTAGGCAAATCTCTCTATGTTTAAACTACTCAATTAGTACGTATGATATTCTTATCAGACCATAAGAATATGACATGAGAAAAAACTGACCCATTTATAGACAAATTTAATTTCACCTACACAAGAGTAATAGGTTTACCCACTTTTATTTAGTGACATCGGTTTCCTACACAATCATTACTACCTCCGTTCTTTTTTATTAGTCCTTCTTTTTTTTTTGGGACGTTTTTTTTATACGTCCTCCTTTCCATTTAAGGAAAGTTTTTACTCTAAATACTCCCTCCGTCCCCTTAAGTTTGTCCCGTTTTACCTTTTTCGTCCGTCCCACTAAGTTTGTCCCATACCATATTTGGTAACATTTGAGCGGTTAGAATTCATTCTTACTTTATTTACACTTTATCAATTCAATACCAACCACACAATTCCACTTTTTCTTAAAAACCACACCACACCCCTCCGTCCCAAACTTAGGGGGACGGAGGGAGTATATCTTTATACCCCAACTTTTATTACCATTACCCCTTCTCTTTCCTACTTTTTCATTTACCCACTACTCATTACACCTTTTACACTACCCCTACTATTTTCTTCTTAAAACCCGTGTCAAAGCCTAGAAGGACTAATATTAAAGAACGGAGGGAGTATAAGAGTATTATATATTTTAAATACACAACAACATTTTCAAGCGGTGGTTTTTCATTTCATTACTCGTATTTAAAAGAGGTAACTCATTTGCCAAGTACATTAGAGAAAACAAGCAAGCTATCTTATACGAGTACATAAGTGATATACCCTTAGACCATTTGTAGTGGTTGGGGATTAGGAGTCAAAAGATTAAAAATGGAGATTTTAGACTCTTATTTGTGTGTAGTGGAGGATTAAAAGGGAGAGTAAAAGTGGAAAGGGGAGTGGAAGAGTATAAATATAGAGGGAGGGGTTGATAGCCAAACCATGTTTTCGCTGACATCATGGTGACATGATTATAACCCCAAATTGTTTTAAACTCTTGTAACTTTTTTATTTGTTCTCCAAATTTTTCAAAATATATATCAAAATTCATAAAATTTTATGATCTTTCATATGACACCAGTATGTAATATATAAAATGAAACAAAAATTCTTAAATGTTAACTGTTGAAGTTTTCTTCAGTTTACAAAACGATGAAACACAAATTTTTAATTCATGGAATCTTTACAAATAACTGAATATTTTATAATCGAACTTTACTTGAACTAAGTTCATTTTTGTTAACCGAAAACATTAAAAAAGATTAATCAAATTTATTTATTTTTATATCGAAATGTGTATTTTTTCTTTCACAATTATTTAGGGAAAATATTAAACGGAAAACATTATTTATAATAAATTAATTAATGTTTTACTAAATTGATATGTAAAAAAATATGTTGAGTGTATTTTATTGACGATGCACGGATGCAGAGAAAAACAGTATTGACGGAGTCAAAACACTGTTTTATAAGATCAACGTTGACCTTGGAAGTTAAAACAAAAGAAGAATACGGCCTAAGATATTTTTGTCTAGACTAAACACAGGCGTTTGAGATGAAACAGAAGCTTTTTTGGTAAATCTATCTTTAAGTTGACAACTGGAGCGAATAGTACGTAAAAAAAGACAACGAATTGTACATTTCTGGTTCCTTTCGCAAGTCGTGCATCAAAAGCCCTGGGGTCCAATCCTTTGAAATTTGAATCTGGGTCGAGATCCAAGTACAGATGGGATCGGAGTGTGGCCCAAAAACTAAATTAGTAGGAATCAATTGGCAGGTGCTGTTTCTATTCGATGGCCGATCTTCTTTTCAATAATTTATTACACTTATCGAAATATAATCATTTAATGGGCGATTTTCAATGGGCACACATATTTATGTGTAATTCTATTCACACTCCCTAATTTACTAATCACAGCCACATAATTAAATATTAATAAATTAATTACACTCAAATTTCCAAATTACCCTCTTATTATTATAGCAAAGCCCGCAGGTCGACACCCTTCTTCGGCGACGAACAAACTACCTACTTACTTCACCAATCAGTCAATCACCATTGCGTATTTCAGCAAACTTGTTATTCAATTGAGAATAATTAATAATCTAATAGATCAAAAGACAATAATAAGCAGGTCGTGATGAACTTTATCCCAAAGCATGACTTATTTCAGCAAAGTTCTCATTTGCATCATCATTTCCTAGGTTTTTATCCATTCGGTGCTTAAGTGCTAGTTGCCATTTTAGGCGGAGAAGACTAGAAAGGAGCACCTATTTGACCTGCTCTGAAGCATCTTTTGGGGATTTGCAGGGTGTTGCCAATCTACATCAATTTGTATTTTTGGATCTAATCTATCTCTCTGGCAATATAAATATTGTATACTTTATTGGGAGGATTTTTATTTTTTTTTGGAAAGAAAAACTTTTATTGAATGAAGGGAAGAGTACACAATGCGGAAGAAAGGAAATACAAGAAAAGTGAAATTGGGAGGATAGCTGGACAGGACTTCAACGACACCGGCTTCACCTCTTTTCGTCCCCCATATTCGGTTTTACCTGCTGGTGCGGATCCGTTCGACTGAGACGGTATGAGGCTTCAAGGCATAATAGGAATTATAAAAAAGAGTATACCTTATCCGAAAATATGTGTGTGGTTAGCAAATGAGGGGAGTTCTTGGGTCAATTAACAAGTTGGTGTAAAAAAAGGTCAATTAACAAGTACATGCATCATGCATGGACGTGAATTCAGTGCTCATAGACTCATAAAGTCATACTCCCTTTCGTTTTATGTGTCTCATTTGACGCTGACACAATTATTAATAAATTAAAGTGATTGGGAAGGTAAAAGTTGTAGCACATTGAAATTTGAGTATAATAAAGTGTAATGTTGTGGACAATATATTTCTTTCCAAAAGAGAAATATGACACAAATTTTGAGACAATTCAAAAGGGAAAGTAAGACATGTAAAATGAGACGATGAGAGTTGTATATCTTGTTTCTCCAACACCAAAAATACCGAGTAGAATACTTCGTACACTTATTTATTCTTTTTCACATTGTGAAACAAATTTTAAGTATTTACTTAAAATTGATCGCAAATAATAATATATGAAAATATCGGGTACAATCTCTAAATATGAATCCTCTGATTCTTCACTGGCAATTTGATATGAATATAATTAAAGAATTTAATTTAAAATTAAATCTCTAATACTTCAAAACTCGAACGTTCTTCGATTCTTCGAATCTTCGTTCTTGAGATCTTCGAATATTCGAACTTTGTTCTTCAGATCTTCAAATCTTCTTGAATGCAAAATTCAATATTGAAGGGCCTCCGGTTTCAAGTAGCTTGATCTTCAACAAAAGGACCGTTATGTGGCTTGATCTTCTGTTAAAGGGCTTCCCGGGATATATGGCTTGATCTTCAATTGAATATTGATTCAATCTTCATATGAATATCTTCAAATCTTCAAAGATTCGTTCTTCATATCTTCGAATCTTCAAAGCTTCGTTCTTCAGATCTTCGAATCTTCAAGCTTCGTTCTTCAGATCTTCGAACGTTCTTCAACTTTTGGCTTTGTTTGATCAAGAATCGATGAAATCACAAAGGATTATTCATATATTCTTGACAAAAACGTGGCTTGATCTCTTCCTCTTCTTCGGAATCCTTCAGAGCCTTTCGGGAGTTCTTCAGAGCTTTGCTGCAACGTTTCTTCGTCTGGAAGCTCTCCCCCTCTTCTCTCAACTGAGACCCCTATTTATAGGTGTGGAAGGGGTGAAAATATGGCTTTAGGGTTCCCAAAATTCGTCCATATTATATGGGCCTCAATTAAAATGGGTTTTGGGCTCTATTTGCTTGCATTTAATAGCTAGAAAAAATCAGCACTTGTTGATGTATTTGGACAACTTTTTTAACAATGTTCAGAGCTATTTTTCATGCATATGGACACATTTCTTAACCGGATTCGTTGGCCTCTTTATCAATTGGATCATCCTGCTTATATACTGAGCCACTATTTGATAATGGGCTCAAAATTAATTGGATCGGTCCATTCTTTTAAAGATTTAATTTATAATTCAATTAATTGGATATTTTGAATGATCCAAATTAATTGAATTAATAAATTTTATCTCAAGAGATCCATGACACTATTTCCTTCTCGATAAGGCCCAACAACCATCATGGTATCAGTCCACCGGAATCTAATGCTGGCCCAGTTGCACTTCAAAAAGACGTAATGATAATCTGAATCAGCCCAATATTTTTTATATGTCTACAAATGCCCCCTCGAGACTTGCTTGAATTCTTAAACAGGTGAAAAGTAAGTCTCGAAACTGATATTTACACTGTTTGGCCCAAATCATTTAATCCATTTATAATCCAGCTTCCTTTCTACCATATTTTCAAATAGCTCAAAGCACAAACCGATGGGATAATGCGATAAAGATTAAACTGGCTGCCCATTCGTGTCAGCTTTGTTTTTTTTTTCAAAAGAGCCCAAATAATATACTTCGTAGAATAATATGGTGGAGTCCAAATCAACTTTTAAAATTCACACCATCACCCATTCACACGTTAATTCCTTCTGCATACACGAAGTATTAACGTATCTCCTAATATAAGTCTAATACCAAGTCCTTAAATTTGTATTCTACCGGGACTTTGATTTATCGCATTAATCGGATCTCAAACTCTTGTTTAACATCTATAAATATCAGCTGATACTTCGTTTTCAGCATATGCAAAATAGTGAAGGCACGGCTGCTTTCTTCTCCTCCGCCTAAGAGTTCGGCCAGATTTCAATAGGTATAATTTCTTTGCTTTCTCTCTCTTTTTTTAACTATCTTTTCTTCGGTCGTATAGCAGGATCCTCCACATGAGCAAGATAAACACCTGTTAAACATCAATTGAAGTAGCGGGCTAGCGGCCATCCGAAGAAGATCCTTTGCTGGTTGGCGTCGGAAGTTGATGATTTGGCCGAGGTTGAGGGTCGTTGTTGTTGTAGCTGTTCACTGAGTTGTTGCCGTGGTTGACGATGTCTCTTAATCTCTGTTGCAGTTTGCGTGAAGAAGAAGAGGATGGGCCAATTTGTTCATGCTGGGGTTCTCATGCTCGTGCAAAGAAGATGACAGGAGATGCTGGGGTTCTCACGCTGAGATTTGTGTTTGTCCGGCGTTTTGCAGGGAGAGTTCCTGTGTCAGGCCAGATTTGTTCGTGCGGCGGAGATAGTGCTGAGCCTGATCGATTGTTGGCCGTTGCTGGGAGATAAGATTTTGATGCCAGCTGATATCATTGGAAATTAAGGCTTTGTGCTACCGTTCGGCAATAAGAACCGGAGCTTTACTTTGTGTTACTGAGATCGAGACTTTGCTGGCCAGAATAAGAGATGATGGTGCTGACTTTGTTGCTATCGGCGCCGCTTAGCCCTTTGTTGGGATGGCGTCAATTTGAAGAATTAGGCCGATTCCCGATTGTCAGTGCTGCTTAGCCCTTTGTTGGGATGGCACCGATTTAAGGAATTCGGCCAGTTGCCGATTGTCGGTGCTGCTTAGCCCTTTGTTGGGATGGCACCGATTTGAAGAATTAGGCCGATTCCTAATTGTCGGTGCTGCTTAGCCCTTTGTTGGGATGGCACCGATTTAAGGAATTAGGACGGTTGCTGATTGTCGGTGCTGCTTAGCCCTTTGTTGGGATGACACCGATTTGAAGAAACTAAGCCGATTTTCGATTGTTGGTGCCGTTTAGCCCTTTGTTGGGATGGCATCAATTTAAAGGATTAGGCTGATTCCCGATTGTCGGTGTTGCTTAGCCCTTTGTTGGGATAGCACCGATTTAAGGAATAAAACCGATTTCCGATCGTTGGTGCCGTTTAGCCCTTCGTTGGGATGACACCAATTTAAAGGATTATGCCGATTCCCGATTGTCGGTGTGAAGACCGGCCACTTCGTCGGTTAGAAGACCGGCTATTTTGTCGGTGCGAAGATCGGCCACTTCGTCAGTTTGAAGACCCGCTACTTTGTGGGTGTGATGACCGAACACTTCGTCGGTTTGAAGACCCGCTACTCTGTGGGTGTGAAGACCGACCACTTCATCGATTTGAGGACCCGCTACTTTGGGTGTGAAGAACGACCACTTCATCGGTTTGAGGACCCGCTACTTTGGGTGTGAAGAAACTTCAAGGAGCTTGTAATGGTTTTCCCAGAGCTTGTAGCAATCCGGCAGGAGCTTGTACCAGTCCAGCAGGAGCTTGAAGCAGTCTTGTCGGAGCTTGAAGCCGTCTTGCAGATTTCAAACAATGGTGTTGCCCTTTGTCATCGTGAAGAAGATGGCGGTGTTGTTCAAAGCTTTAGAGGTACCATCGATGCTACTGCCGTCGGCGCCACCTGCTCCGTTGTTGAGATGGCGACGGCGTTGTGGAGATATTGTTCGAAGCTCAACTCAATCCACTTCCGATGACGAGGAGATGAAAGATTCCCGAAGCCTTTGTCATTCATCTGACTTTTCTTCGTAAGCCTTCTTCTGACATTCTTTTGACAAAATGACTCAATTGGGATTTATTTTGTTATAACTGAACTCAAAAATGAAACTTTTGAGCTTCCTACGTACTCCTATGAAGGAGATCAAGTCAGACGTAGTTCAAAGTACCATTTGAATAGGTAATTTAAAGGGGTGGGGTGCCGTACACAGTTTTAACTCATGCGGGCCAAGAGTTTGCCGTACACATTTTAAACTCTCGTGGGCCAAGAGTATCTATGATTATGCTCACCCATAGACAAAGTGAGATATTTTAGCAGTTTAGCCACTTACAACATCATTGGTGGTTTAAGGCTTTCAACATTTTATTTGACATATCTACCCCGACATCAAGGGTACTGGATCTTCATATTGGCCTTCATATTGACCACGAGTGTGCACAATGGTCACTGGCTCGACTTTGAGTGCACTTCCATAGGTTACTTTCACATCGGTTTCTTGTCTCATACGAGATGAGATAGAACGTTTGTGCTTTTTAAGACTTTGCTTTCCAGAAAGAACTTTAGCAGATTTATTGTCTACATGTTCCAGTCCCAATCTTTCGTGAACAGTCTTTCTTTTGAAGTTTTGTCCCATGCATGGGTCTTCAGCGTACTTGATCATCATCGGGCTCGTTCCAAGCCGTCTTTGTAAAGTCTTCTTCATAACTTTCTTTGGCTTCAGACCCAATCTATCAAAGATAGCGGGCCTTGATCTTGCCCCCTCAATCCGATCAAAGATAGAGCACTGTAGTTTGGAAGTCACTTCATCTTCTTCATAGGCACTAATATGATGTATTGTGGCTCTATTTATGAGGATCTTAATAGGTTTAGGTTGAATGTAACCCAATCCAACATGCCCTCGTGAGTTTATTTGCTTTGGTGTTCCTTCTCCACTAGCTTCCGGGATGAGCTTCCCTAACTTTTGTTCGTTAGGATTATAACCAGCTTTGGCAAGGAGCTTGTATGCGTTCGGGTCAAATCCCTCTTTCGTACGTGTGTTGGGGAGCTGAATTGCCTTAACATCATTCCCACTTTTTACTTCCTCCTCAGATGTGTTTTGAGGATGCTTTGATATTTCAATCTTTGCAAGAGGGAATGTAAGCCCTTCTACGCCTTCAACAAGCTTTCCTTTCAGCTTTGGTCCAATCAAGGGGCGATATTCTTCCTCTTGTCTAGCATTGTCATCTTTAGAAATTTTGGCCTTTAGGTAAAACTTCGCATCTGCAAAGTATGTCTCGGCTTCTGCGAATGGAGTTTCATCGTCCACTACGCCATTTTGCTCATACATGAAGCATTGGTGCCATGTTGAAGGGATTACACCGTTCTCATGGATCCATGGGCGTCCTAGAAGGAGATCGTATGAAGCCTTTGCATCAATCACATGGCATAAAGTGTTTGCCTTTAGTCCGCCGATGGTCAAATCAAGACGTATCATTCCAATCGCCCTTTGCCCCCCTTGATTGAAGCCTTGAATCATCAAGCGGCTTTGGGAGAGTTCATCCATTGATATATCAAGGTCTTTCATAGCTCGAACCGTCAGAATATTAACGACAGACCCTTGATCAATCATAATTCTTTTGAATCTTTGTCCACGAGTGTATCCTTCAACAAAAAGCGGACGGTTATGGGGAGTAGCACCCAACATGAGATCTTTGTCTTTAAAGACAATGTCAGTGACGTATGAAGTAGATTTTTGTGCTTCGACCACTTCTTTCTTAGTCGAAACTAGAGATGGACATCCACTTGAACTCTCAACTTCTTCTTCATGGGTGCTAAGACAAGAACTTGAAATTTGAGCCATCTCGTTCTTGAAATCCTTTGGCATAAAATCGTTGAGAGTAATCACCCTTCGTGCAGCCTTGGAACGAACACGATCTTTCCTTTGCTTCTTTTGCTTCAACTTGTTTATCGGTTGTTGCTTGACCCATTTCTTTACCACCTTCATCGGTTGTGGCTTATGTTTGTGGTTCTTATTTTGTTTATCTCGGGCTACTAAGACCCATGGATCTTCTTTGTCATTATTTTCTTTATCTCTCATGCTTTTCTTGAAACGAGAGTCGTTCCCCATCACTTCGATAGTAAAAGGAAATCTTTGATTGTGAGAGTTCTTGCTCTCTTCTTTCGAGTCATCTTTGACCATGAATGGAGAAAACATACCAAAAGTGATGGCAACTTGGTTTGTGCTTGCAGCAAAATCGGCGAGCTCAATCTTTCCATCACGAGCTAGTGCCATGATTTTGTCTTTAAGAACCCAACACTTCTCAGTGGGATGACTTAGAATTCGATGATAGTTGCAGTATTTGGGGTCATCAACTTTCATGGCTTCCTCGGGTCGCTTGGACTCGGGCAAACTGATAAGATTCAATCTCATCAGTTCCTCAAACATGAGAGGAACGTCAGAGTCTAAGAAGGGGTACTTCTTTTCCAACATCTCTTCTAGAAATGGCTTAACGCGTTTTGATGCCTCCAAGTCGGCTCTAGGAACTTGCTTTGAATTTTGAGTGAAGATCTTAATAGGTGCAGTCTTCGTGACCATTGCTTCTTTCTTTTCAATCTTAGAAAAGGGCTTGCCCCCATTTTTGGAATCTTGTTGTTCAACCGCATTATTGACGAGATACATACCCACAGTTTTCCTTCTACTACTCGTAATGCTCAACTCCATGTTACGAGCTTTGCTTGCTAGCTCATCAAAAGTGTTTGGATTGACTCCTTTGAGAATGTAGCACAATTCCCAATGCATTCCTTCAATGCACATATCGATAGCGGAGCTTGTAGAGATTCGTTCTTTGCAGTTTAGAGCAAGATCCCTCCAACGCTCTATGTAAGCTATCACAGATTCATCTTTCCATTGACGAGTAGTTGTTAGTTCGAGTAAACTGACCACTCTCCTTGTGCTATAAAAACGGTTTAAGAACTCACGTTCCATATCTTGCCAGCTATCAATGGAACCGGGCTCCAAATCAGTATACCAGTCAAATGCGTTTGCTTTCAAGGAACGCACGAACTGCTTGACAAGATGATCTCCGATTGTTCCCGCGTTATTGCAAGTTTCTATGAAATGGGCAACATGTTGCCTTGGATTTCCCTTCCCATCAAACTGGATGAACTTCGGCGGCTGGTAACCAATGGGCATTTTCAGATCCTCGATCCTCTGAGTGTATGGCTTAACATAGGAGCAAGTAGATTGACCTTCTTCTATCTTCCCCTTTATGGTTCCCATGATGAAGTCTTTGATTTGATCAATCGGGATCATGCCCCCAGAGGTTGAGATGTTCTTCCCTGAATCCTCTTGGTGAGGGTCACCCTCTTCATGCATTTCGGGATCCTTCTCATGCGTATGACTTGACTCACCTTTCAAGCTTTCTACTTTTTTGTTCAGATCATTCAACTTTTGGTCTTGAGATTGCATGAACATACTCATCCCCTCGATGACTTTAGTTAGATGGGCGATTTGTTCTTCAATAGATGTGGTGCTTGTCGTCATAGTGGGCATCACGGTGTAGACGTTCGACCACTGCGGAGTAGTTCTTCGTGGAGGACTTGACGGGGGAGTAGAGTCTGATCCAGATGATGAGCTTTCACCTCCGCTTGTCCACTTCGGGGAAGTAACTTCACGTATGGGTGAAGAAAGCTTCCAGGCCATTTCTTGCGCAATTCGAGATCCATCCATTGCATCGGGAGTAGTTCCCAAAGATGACTGCGCAACCAGGATTCTTGATCTGCTCCTAGTGATAGGGCCTTGCATGTTTTGATTTGAGCTTGACGATGCTCGAGAATTTAAAGTGAACACGGGCTTGCTTGACGCCATTGTTTCGTTTTCTTTGATCAAAAGTGAAGAGATGAGAGGTAGAGATGTCCCACTGGGCGTGCCAAAAATTTGTGAAACAAATTTTAAGTATTTACTTAAAATTGATCGCAAATAATAATATATGAAAATATCGGGTACAATCTCTAAATATGAATCCTCTGATTCTTCACTGGCAATTTGATATGAATATAATTAAAGAATTTAATTTAAAATTAAATCTCTAATTCTTCAAAACTCGAACGTTCTTCGATTCTTCGAATCTTCGTTCTTGAGATCTTCGAATATTCGAACTTTGTTCTTCAGATCTTCAAATCTTCTTGAATGCAAAATTCAATATTGAAGGGCCTCCGGTTTCAAGTAGCTTGATCTTCAACAAAAGGGCCGTTATGTGGCTTGATCTTCTGTTAAAGGGCTTCCCGGGATATATGGCTTGATCTTCAATTGAATATTGATTCAATCTTCATATGAATATCTTCAAATCTTCAAAGATTCGTTCTTCATATCTTCGAATCTTCAAAGCTTCGTTCTTCAGATCTTCGAATCTTCAAGCTTCGTTCTTCAGATCTTCGAACGTTCTTCAACTTTTGGCTTTGTTTGATCAAGAATCGATGAAATCACAAAGGATTATTCATATATTCTTGACAAAAACGTGGCTTGATCTCTTCCTCTTCTTCGGAATCCTTCAGAGCCTTTCGGGAGTTCTTCAGAGCTTTGCTGCAGCGTTTCTTCGTCTGGAAGCTCTCCCCCTCTTCTCTCAACTGAGACCCCTATTTATAGGTGTGGAAGGGGTGAAAATATGGCTTTAGGGTTCCCAAAATTCGTCCATATTATATGGGCCTCAATTAAAATGGGTTTTGGGCTCTATTTGCTTGCATTTAATAGCTAGAAAAAATCAGCACTTGTTGATGTATTTGGACAACTTTTTTTAACAATGTTCAGAGCTATTTTTCATGCATATGGACACATTTCTTAACCGGATTCGTTGGCCTCTTTATCAATTGGATCATCCTGCTTATATACTGAGCCACTATTTGATAATGGGCTCAAAATTAATTGGATCGGTCCATTCTTTGAAAGATTTAATTTATAATTCAATTAATTGGATATTTTGAATGATCCAAATTAATTGAATTAATAAATTTTATCTCAAGAGATCCATGACACTATTTCCTTCTCGATAAGGCCCAACAACCATCACGGTATCAGTCCACCGGAATCTAATGCTGGCCCAGTTGCACTTCAAAAAGACGTAATGATAATCTGAATCAGCCCAATATTTTTTATATGTCTACACACATATAGTTTTGATAGGATTCCGATAATCCACTAGTAGCTAGTATTGTAAAGAGAAGAGAGAACTAAGAGTTTAGAGAGAGAAAGAGCTTAATGTTAATGGGAGTCTAACCCTTAGAGCATATCCAATGCTACAATATGCACGGTGCACATGTGGCATGAGAGAAATAAATACAAAATATTGATTTTATCACATTTCTCTCTCCTTCTTTGCACGTTCTTATGTGTTTTTGGTAAATTTTTGTCTGCAATGCCAAACAGAATTTCTACATCTAGACATTGTGCTTGACATTGTGAAGAAAAACTTACCAAACTGATGTAAAATCCTTCAAATAAGGAGAAAGATATACTATTTATTGTTTTTTAATTGATTATTTCTCATGCCACGTATGCATAATTAACGTTTTAGCATTGAAGATGCTCTTACAACTGTTCTCAATGGGTATTTATATTAGTAATTAATGAGACAGTGCATTAAGTGCATTACTCGTGTTGGCTAATCTATGAGGGGGGAGCCCTGGGGCATGACAGAACTTCACCCATGTCATTCCCTAACCAATCTTTGGCGAGGTGTTCTCGGTTGGTTGAGGTGATGATGACTGAGGTGCAGGGATGAATTCCGAGTCTGGTGTTTTCCTTGTTCCTGAGCAATTGTCTGGGATCTTTGGCCAAGGTGACATCACCGAGGTGATGACCGAGGTGACTTGTATGAGCATGTTTCTTTATTCTAGACTAGATTTGGTTTAAGTGTCCCCAGGTAATGTGATGGGTTTGTGCCGCTTAGGTGTCCAATAGTGTGGCTTGTGGGTTGATATTCATGTAATTTCTGATTGTATGTTTGTATTTTTAACTAGTTTTTATTAGTTCTAGTTGTGGAAATTACACACTTTTGGTGTAATACTTTATTTTCATTTTTATTTGTAATTTAGTTAGATTAGGATTTTTCTGAGCTCAAAGATCATCTAAGGGATCAAGATTCGACCTTAAAAGATCAAGGAAAGTGCAAGGAGACAAGAAAGATTTCGATTTAGAAAAAATACTCATGTACCCGGTCGGGTATTGCCTATACCCGATCGGGTAATTGCTTGATTCGACTGTCCAAATCAAATCCGAAGACAAATGATCGCGGGAGCAAATTTTCATAAAGATTTGTCACATACCCGATCGGGTATATACCCTTACCTGATCGGGTATGCCCAGAAAAATCACTTTCTGGGCAATTTCCTGAGATACCCGGTCGGGTATCTTATATACCCGGTCGGGTATCAGACCCTGCAGCTCCCAAAAACCTATAAATACACCTCTTTCCTTCCCATTTGATTACAAATTCACATATACTCTTTAGCTCAATTTAGATTAGTGTTTTCTTTATATTTTCTATCATGTTTAGTCTCCAAATGAGGAGCTAAACTCTTCCATCTTGGTTTTGCTACTTTGAAGCTTAATGAATTTGTAAGTTGTGAGTTATTCTCTTTAATCTTCTTCCTTGAATATTAATTCTTCCTTTAAATACTATTTCTATATCAATGTTGGGGAGTGTTACTAAGATGACAATTAGTTAACATCTTGACATTAGTTATAGTAATAGCTATTTCTTCCTCTATGTTAATATTGGGGAGTGTTACTAAGATGACAATTAGTTAACATTTTGATATTAACTATAGTAGGATTCATCTTCTTTAATATTCTTCCTTGAGTATTAATTAATTCCTATTCATATTTCATATTAATATTTTGAACATTACTTAAAGGATCAACTAGTTTTGTTTCATATATTAATTATTACTAGAATCAATCGGTTAATACGCTTGTTATTAATTCGGTTCTTTCAATGGTAGTAAACTTGGGTTGTTAATGCATGCTTCTCATGATTAATAAGCCAAGGGGAATTAATTATATTGATTAAACCAATAAACCGCTTGTGTTGAGGTTATCAATCTCAATCGTTTTCATCTTAAGTTTATTGCTACTATCAAGTTAATATACGGCGCTTGTTCTATATTGACTCGATAGTAAGTTTTATTAATGAACGCATCTCGTTATTAATAACTACCCTCGATGAACTGGATATACTCCTCGATTGAGTATTCGAGAGGAAAATAGTTAAAGATATAACCGGGATCGACGAACATTTCATTAAGTGCATAAAAGCAAAACCAAGCCTCCATCTCCATTAAGGTAAACCACATAACTCGTTCATCTTCGTGCTTAAATACATTTTAAGTTCAATCATTAAATCAAACCCCCCCTTTGTTACTATTTATATAAAAGATAAATATTCTTTTCCCTGTGGATACGAACCTTACTTCACTATACTACATATTAGTGTTGTATTGTATATTATTTTGAGTGCACCTCACGACAAGTGCACGTCATGGGTCTGGGCCCATATACTCTATCAGGAGTCTCCACTCTCTAAGATGAGACACTTCGAAGTGAAAAGGAGTAGAGCTGTTTGACATTGATTATAAAATGTCCTTAGAAGAGCCGAGCTCTAGCACGAATTAGTATGACTATGAGCCGAGCTCTAGCATGAAGGAACGTGAGTTGATTATAAAATAATAACATCCTAGATTATACTTAGTATAGTTGTCATTGTACTTGTCAAATGCTTCCAAGTACTGACCTCCCCTTCACGGGGGAGGCCACCTCACAGTTTCAGGTAGAACTTGAAGGTTGCTACCATCGTCGTTGCTTCGGGAGGATCCAAAAAGGAGGAGACGTGGTTCGTGTTTCCCCCGTTTCCATTTTTACAAACTATTTAATTAATGCTCATGGATATTACTTTTAAATATTTATTTGGGGGCTTGTATGCCCATGTTTGCCAAGGTGTGGCATGAACACTTGTATTGCATGTTTCCGCCGCTTTGAATGAATATTTTTACATTATGTTTGTTTACGGATGTACTATTGTGAATGATATTCCAGACGCCTTGTATAGTATGGATGAGTAGGACCACGGTTGACTATTTGTACTGTACGGCGGGTTGTTGACGTGTCCGGATAGGTCCGGGGCGTGACATGTTGGATGATAATGACTAATTACGTCAACATGGTGGTTCACAGACGCAAGTTGTAAGGATAATGATTTGGAACCAACACCAGAAAAATTAGGCAAAACAGTTGAGGATGAAATGTTGCTTTCTGAGGAAGAAGAAAACTCATCTTCTTCATCAATGGAAGCCAAACTGCTATGCAACCCATTCCCTTGATTACTACAATCAGAGTCACTCACATGCAAAGACAATGAAGATGTAGTAGAACTGATGGATAGTCTACCCGGGGGGTATCTTATTCGAGGGGTTATTGCGGGAATAATTTAGAGAGAAGTCAGAGTAAATAGGAGGAGAGAGAGTCGATTTTATTAAATGAACTCGAGATGCGGAGTTGGGATGTAGATGGTTTACAAGGAGAAATGGGCTGCTATTTATAGCAGCAATAAATGCGATGAGAGTACACGTGTCAGTAATCCAACGGCCGAAGGGTCACATCACTCGGGTGGCACCGGCAGTGGTACGTTCACCGCATTGAATGCGGTTGGCGGATGTGACGTGGCATTAAATGCGGTGGTTGGCTGTCTCCAAAAGGAATCTTCGATGATTGAACATGTATGGCCGAAGGCTCCTTGTGTAGCCGAGGGCTCCGTGTGACTGAGGACCCCAGTGTAGCCGAAGGCCCCGTGTGGCCGAAGGCTTGGTTCAGCCGAAGGCTTCTCTGATGCCGAGGGCTTGAAAATGCCGAAGGCTCATATTTTCGCCGTTTTCTCCCAGCAGCTTCTTATGCCAAAAAGGCTATCCTGTGAGTTCTGGAGCCTTCGGCCAAGGAGGCCGAAGGCACCCCAGTGTGTATTCTGGGCTATTTTGAGGCTTGGGCCGTCACAATTGGGCCTGAGTTGTTCTCTGGGCTCGACGGACTTGTGTAGGAGAAGTAGGAGTCTATGGGCCGGGGGTTCCTGGGCCATATACTCCATCAAGAACCATGTGCAAGTGAGTAATGAAGTGGTACAAAATCATGAAGCACGTGTGGAGTTTCAGACTTAAACTCCACACATAGTGGTAACTTTGCAACATCCGACTGCAAACACTTCATATAAAGATAGAATTTCAAAGTTTCATCATCAACAATAAAAACAGGAGGGGGGCAACCATCAACCATATACGAAATCCTGAATGAATGATTTGGTTTGTACTGATTTAAGATTCCACGCAGCATATCAAGCAAACTCGTGTACGAAGAATGAAGTCCAATACGAATACCAAATGTATCCAAACTTGAAAATGTATAGTCAGACATCCATGTACCGTCCAACTTAAGCATAACAAGCAACACATCATCCATTTGTAGAAATTAATGCCTAAAAAACAATGAAAAGTTCAGCAAGACAACATAAGACATCAATCAGTACAGTAAAACTGTTATTATGACATTTAATGCCAACCAAAGAGTACATAACAATGACACAAAACACATAAAGTAATGGAAAAATTAAAAACGATAAGCAAACAACATCGAATCACAATGTAAATCACCAATTGAACAACAAAAATCGTAATTCTTACATAAAAATTTTACAAACCAAAAAAATCATAAAACAAATGTAAATTACATTAAAACTAAACTGAAACTATCAGAACTCATTTGCGAAACACATATATGCACAATTACATATCATCAGCATTCAGGAATATTAGAAGAACATTCGAAGAAAGATGTAATCAACATTCCAGAAAATCAAGCAGTAAGCTTACCTGCAGAAAACGCAGGGCACAAGTATGCCTAATGCAAATGAAAAACTAAATTCGCAAAATCAGAAGCAATGGCAAGTCGGAAGAGAGGAAAGAACTGAGACGATGCTAATCGCAGACGGAAGAACGAAATAAGGAAAGCTGCGCAGGAAATCTCCAACCGGAAGAAACGATTAGAAACAGGTTACTGATGTGGCATGCTTCCGTGTAAAGTAAGGGCATTTAAGGAAGAAAAAAAATGGCGGCACATAGGAGCTCCTATTTGGGGAAATTAGCTAAAGAACTCTTATTAATTTCTTTTTCCTATTTGGGGAATTTTTTGTGTATAGTGCTTGTAAGTTGTAACTTATTCCCTCCTGTGAGCCAGTGCTATTATAGAATAGTACAAAACCAAAGATTCTGTCTTCTCAGGCAGATGCCTTACGGCCAGTCGAGAGCCCCATACTCAAATCCATCACACTAACAATTTATAGAAATTCAATAGTTCCTCGGTTTCATCCCTCTATCTTGAACTGTAGAAGATAGAAAAATTCCTGACGAATTGAAATGGTTCTAGGCGAGTTGAATATGGGAGGTAGCCGGAAAGCGATGGTGAGCTTCTTCATCCACGTTCTCACCGGCCGGTGGTTCATGGTTTTCGCGTCCCTTCTGATCGAGGCCATGGCCGGCTCAACCTTCATGTTCGGCCTCTACTCCAGGGAGATGAAGTCATCACTCGGATACGACCAGACAACCTTAAACTTGGTCAGTTTCTTCAAAGACTTGGGAGCCAACGTGGGAATCATCTCCGGCCTCATAAACGAGGTCACTCCGCCGTGGGTGGTTCTCCTCGCCGGAGCACTCATGAACTTCTCCGGCTACTTCATGATATGGCTGGCCGTGACAGGGCACGTGGCCAAGCCGAAGGTGTGGCAGATGTGTCTGTACATATGCATCGGAGCCAATTCCCAGACTTTCGCAAACACAGGGGCTTTGGTCACGTGCGTGAAGAGCTTCCCGGAAAGCAGGGGAGTGGTTTTGGGACTGCTGAAAGGGTTCGTCGGTCTCAGCGGCGCAATCATCACCCAATTATACCACGCTTTCTACGGCAGTAACGACGGAAAGTCTCTGATTCTGCTCATCGGATGGTTACCGGCGGCTGCCTCGTTCATTTTTCTCCGGACGATCCGTGATATGAAGCCGGTTCGTCAATCCAACGAGACCCAGATCTTCTACAAGCTTCTCTTCATATCGCTCGGCTTAGCCGGGTTTTTAATGGCCATAATCATCGCACAGAACAGAGTGGCGTTTACCCGGCCGTTGTACGCCGGGAGTGGCACCGTCGTTCTCATTTTACTCTATTCCCCTCTGTTTCTCGTGTTCAAGGAAGAGTTCACTCTTTGGGAAACCAAACAGCGGGATTTAAGAAACGAATCTTCTCAAGGAGTGAAGATTGAAATGAGTAAACAACCGCTGGCGACGGCGGTGGTGGCAGAGGACAGGGGGATGAGTTCTTGTTTCAAGAACGTGTTCCGACCGCCGCCGAGAGGAGAGGACTACACTATTCTGCAAGCACTATTCAGCATCGACATGATCGCTCTGTTCACCGCGACGACGTTCGGCATCGGAGGGACGTTGACCGCCATCGACAACCTCGCCCAGATAGGGAAGGCTCAGGGGTACGCGGCGGAGACAATCACGACGTTCGTGTCACTGGTGAGCATATGGAACTACCTAGGACGAGTGGTCGCCGGATTCTTGTCGGAAATCTTCTTAACCAAATACAAATTCCCCCGCCCGCTGATGCTCACGGCGGTTCTCCTCCTCTCCTGCGCCGGCCACCTCCTAATTGCCTACGGCGTACCGAACTCTCTCTACATCGCCTCCATCATGATGGGTTTTTGCTTCGGGGCTCAATGGCCGTTGATCTTCGCCATCATATCTGAAATCTTCGGCCTGAAGTACTATTCGACTCTGTACAATTTGGGAAGCGGGGCCAGCCCCGTCGGGGCGTACCTGCTCAACGTCCGAGTAGCTGGACATTTGTACGACAAAGAGGCTAAGAGGCAGCTCAGAGCTGCTGAGGGTCTTGCCGGCGCCGGACTGGAGGACGGCCGGGAGTTGACTTGCATTGGGGTGGAGTGTTATAAAAAGGCTTTTCTAGTGATCACTGCAGCTACAGCTGTGAGCGTGGTGGTATCTTCCATACTGGTGATTAGGACAAGAAAGTTCTACCAGGGTGACATATACAAGAAGTTCAAAGAGCAAGCTGAGGCGGCCACCATGGCGCTGGAGATGGAGGAAACTGTCGTCACAAACGAGGCAGGGAAGGCATAAGCAGAGTAGGGCAAAGTAGGAAGAATGTAGGGGGTGGCAAGGGGTGGGATTTAGACCGGGTGGAGGCTCATCCACGTTCGTCCGTCATCCATTAAATATTACATCCAGATCCAATTCATCCGTCGTGAACGGGTCATCGGGTGGATCGGGTGAGTAACAGGTGAATATAAATTGTCTAACGTGAAAGATAAAAATAAATTACAAGGAGAAATCATAACAAGTAAAAACCAAAAATTAAGAATTCATTAAATAATAACAACAAAAACTTGAGTAGTTAAGTATATTACAATCATTAATTCATTGCGGATAAAAAAAAAAACTTATTGTCAAACAAAATAAATACGAAGTATAAAACTTCTTCAAGCTGTCATTCACTCATTCTACATTTTTGCATCGACACAAAATCAATTTTGCAGTTCAACTGTCACTTTTTGAAACTATCCAATTGTCTTCAATAAACCAATTCATAGATATGTGTCTTCTTCAATAAAAAAAATACATACCAAGTATATATTAATATTAATCATTATATATATTATTAAATAAATACGGAGTATTACGTAGTATATATTTATATGCGGGTTAGCGCGTGGGTGGATGGAGCGGGTGACGGATCGGGTGATGGGTTGGATGAGTGTTCGTCCACACCCGATCCAACCCATCTTTCAATCCACCCGTCATCCATTTTTCATCCATCTTTCACATTTTCGATTCGGGTTAACCGGGTATCCGCGGGTGCGGGTGATATTGCCAGCCCCGAATGGGGCACCTCTTCCTCATTTCGTCAACAAGAAAACAATGGGAATCACAATTGAGAAAAATGTCAATTAAAAGCATGAAAGGAGTTGATTAACCCCAACTACATTCTAAGCCAAACAGATTGACAAATCACATAGCTGCAGATCAGATCAATGTAAATATAGCACTAGTGATTCACCCTAACTATATTCTTATTACTTCCAATCGTTCTCTTGCTAAGGATTTACTAAAAATATTTGCGAATTGATTTTTAGTGCAACAATCAAAACAGGCTAGCCCTTTTTCCATATCCATATGTAGGATATGGATGTGTTTAGATTGTAAGTGCATAACGAGATCTTTTTGAAATATTAATCGCCCTCGTGCAAAAGTTAGGCAAATCCAAAAGCACTTGATGGTTTTACATTCCACATGGGTTGAACATGTCATGAGGCCGTAACAACCTATTCAGATTCATCAATTTCTTTTTGAAAAAAAAAGAATGACACCCCATCCATGAGGGCCCCCAACACCGACCGGACGGCACAATGGTAGGATGTAAATTGGACTATAATCACAATCTGACAGATAGAGAGTGAGACTCTGTCCCCGGTACTTGCACAAGCTCTATGAATTTTTTAGCATAGTAACCCCTCCCTTGTGACACTCACTCTCTACCAGTTGAGCTTTTATTGGGTTCATATTACCCCAAAGATATTTGAGAATTCTTGTGATGATCTTGAGATGTGATTCTTTGAGATTTGCTTGGAACATGACACATAGACCAATACTAAAAGGGAAAAGGTGCAAATAGGCCCATGTACTAACCAAAAAAGGTCAAATAAGCCCTTATTTAGGAAGTTTTGTCCGGCCGTCGTCATTTGGGGTGGTTCCCGGTGGATTTTTTGATGAAATTTTTTGAACATCTTATTCATCAAGTCTAGTTTGCGCATATCAAATTTCAGCTAAAACTTCAATCGGGAAGGCATTCAAATGAATTCTTGAAGATAACTGCGCTTCTAACTGCGCAGTTATTTTCAAGAATTCATTTGAATGCCTTCCCGGTTGAAGTTTTAGCTGAAATTTGGTATGATTAAACTAGACTTAATGAATAAGATGCTCAAAAAATTTCATCAAAAAATTCCACCGGGAACCACTCCAAATGGCGACGTCCAGACAAAGCCTCCTAAATAAGGGCTTATTTGACCTTTTTTTGTTAGTACATGGGCCTATTTGCACCTTTTCCCATACTAAAAAAAATGTCAGTTCTACTCGCATTATTTAGCTACGATATGAAGGTTTTTCATATCATTTTTAGATTGAATTAGTATAAGATTTAAAATCGAATTGGAGAATAAATTGTAAATCGTAGGATTTTATAATAACCATTTTTTTCAAAATATCAGATAATAGGAAACTCGCAACTTAGCATTAATAAATCAAATCATTGTAAGTTTAAATCTAATGATAAAGTCTTGCATGCATAATGTGCATAAATTAATTAATAACAAAAAACAATGTTATGTAATCGAGTAAAAGTCCTCATCAAATAGATAAGTTGTTTTATTCAAATTTCACAATAATACGATAGTATAATACTCTCTCCGTCCCCAAAACAACTTCCGGGTTTGACCTACACACATACTCCCTCCGTCCCATTAGAAGGTTCCAACTTTTCTTTTTTGGACGTCCCATATAAAGGTTCTCATTTCCATTTTAGGAAACAATCAATAATCTTAAGTGACAAATTAATCATTAAATATTAAAAATAATACATTTATAACATCACACTTATAACTACATTATAATATATACCTATTAAAATTATTTCTCAAAGGCTAAAGGGTCAAATAGGCCCTTGAACTGACTTAAAGTGTTCAATTAGCCCCTTATATAGGAGGTTCTGCTCGGCCGTCTCTAATTGGGGTGGTTCCTGATGGAATTTTTTGATGAAATTTTTTGAGCATCTTCTTTATTAAGTCTAGTTTACCCATACCAAATTTCAGCTAAAAATTCAACCGGGAAGGCAGTGAAATCATTTTCCGAAATGTACTGTGCTGTTTAACTTCGCAGTTATCTTCAAAAAATCATTTGACTATCTTCCCGGTTGAATTTTTAGCTGAAATTTGGTATGAGTAAACTAGACTTAATGAAGAAGATGCTCAAAATATTTCATCAAAATATTCCACCGGGAACCGCCCCAATTGCGGACGGCCGAGCAGAACCTCCTATATAAGGGGCTAATTGAACACTTTAAGTCAGTTCAGGGGCCTATTTGACCCTTTAGCCTTTCTCAAAATATACTCGAAGTACTTTATTTGATTATTGTCTAAATAACCGTGTTATTTGTATAACCGTGCTATTTTGCTATGGGAATCTTCCAATGGAACGAAGGTAGTATTTAGGAAATAAACTTACCAGGGGGTAAAATTTACTGTTTTGACACTGTTTGGCACTGTTTGACACTTTTTGCACGTACTGTTTGGCACTATTTTGATGTTAGATAACTTTCCATTTAAGGAAATGGGTGTTGGGTGTGTTTCGGAAAATAAATAAAATTAATTAAAATAAATTAATTAAATAAAATGACTAGAGAAAAACAAGAAAGGAGATGAAGCAGAATTAGTCAAAGCTCGTGCTACGCACGATGTCCTTAAAACGTATTTGTTGCCTCCCACGGTGCTAGGAGCGTTGCAACAATCGTTTCCCAGGATACGATGACTACGAACTAATGTTTGAGCACACAAACAAAAGTCCCAGCGAACAAGAACATAGTATGAACACAGAGGGAATTTTCGGAATGCTGGAGGTGTTTTTGAGCTCAGAAATACGTGAGGAATGTGTGCAAGATCGTGTGTTGTTGCAAACCACCTGTCAGCCTTTATATAGGAGGATTTGTTGTGTGTAAATGGTGAATTAATGAACGTGAACGTTGGACATCAATGACCAGTCCGTTGGGCATTGAATCATCCATGAACTGTCCATTTAACGCTGCATTAAAAGATAAGAACGTTGGACATTTATTGTTGTAACGGTTCAGAACGCGACCAGAAGACCTCCCAACAGAACACCATTCATTGAGGTGTTCTGGTCGAGGGTTTATGTCCGGAGCCACCAGAACACCATACCGAGATAGATTTTTGGACGACATTCGTGTCCGCAGGTCGCCCGCGCACGCAAGTCGTGGTTTTTCTTCTCCGATTTCGGGATTTGATTTGCACCACCCCTGCGCGCGTGGAGAGAGCCTTTACCCTTAGGAATGTTAACTCCATAAGGGGGGAGTCCCTTTATAAAGGGTTTCAAATCCCTTGGGTTTTCCGGTGTGGGAAATTAACACACTAGAAACCCATCCTTTTTCCCAGTTTTTCCATTCTAACGGGTAAACTTCGAAAAGCGATTTCTCATTCACCCGTTATCCGTTTTGAGCGTACCATATATCGAATTGTAGCCCTTAACAAGGACAATTCGAAACCACTTTGACCTGACCCAAATCGGAAGTAGACCCCACTCAAAAAATTGCCCCAAAAATAACCATTTAATGCAATTTTTCACACATTTTTCCAACAATGGGAAGTTAAATTAGGGGCATCCAAATAAGGAAAATGAGAAGTTGTTTAGGGGACGGATGAACCGAACTGAACTAGCCGGTCTGGACCCGGACCGATTTTTGGTGGTCTTGATTTTGACCACCAAAAATATTAATAGAAAAACCATAAATGGGCGAAAACAATAATAATATACCAAAAGTTGTCAGAGACAATTATGTGAACCAATTGTGAAATTGGTGCGAAACTAGTTAGATCATAGGTGGAATTTTTTCATGTCTATTTTATGTGTATTTTATTATAGACATAATTTGATTAGTCTAATAGTAGTACAATTTAGTTTGTTTAGATCTACTTTTATAATTCTAATGGGTATTAATTACTTTGTCCATATTTTTTTCTTCATCAAAAATTTATTTGAAATGATGAAATGTTAGGTAGAAGTGGGTGGCACTACCGTACGCACCTGGGAAGAAGAACACCTGCGGTGTGGATTTGGTCGAGGAAGCCCGTAGGTTTGGGGGAACTGTCGAATTCATTATTAGCATCAGGCATTAGTGGCTGCCCAGACTTCACGAATACGGCCCCATTCTCCAATAAATCGCCATCGCTCCACCAATTCCACTTCTGCCCCAGTGGGTCTGGATCGTTCGCCACCGTCGTCGCTTCTCTCTTTGTCACCTGACCAATCCATCACACAAAGCGTGTTTTTCTTTCTCCCATCTCAGCGGGTTAGATTAGTTTTTCTTTGTACACATTTTGTACGCTTTATTATAGACATTTATGTTTTTTGTGTGTACACAACTACACAAGTAATTCGTCTAGAAAGGGTAGGATTATCTATATACACTAACAATGTACATGAGAGTGAACGCCCTAAACATATACACCAAAAACCGTACATTAATGTATGCATGCCTCGTTTCTTCCGTTCCCTGCATGTTTCATACATAATTTTGTACGAGACACTACCAAGTCTACCGTAAGTACGTTAATGTGGATTTTCGGTGTTGATTGAGTATATATGATACTTCAACCTTTTGAAACACTTATTTGGGTTATAATTGGCATCAAGAAAAATTCTAGTAATAAGAGTAAAAATGTTTTATAATCTCAAAATAAGACTCTGTTGGAAAACTTAGCCTATTTCAAATGAAATTTTGACTTGGCTTTTTATCTTTGTCCCACACCAGATTTCATAAAGGAAGTGTTGAGCCTTTTTATATGTTCACTCCTTTTTAATGTAACATTCATAATTCTTTAATACATATATGAATGGATTAGCTTTTCATTTTGGGATGTTGCACACAGGGCCGGTCCTGAGAAAATGGAGGCCATGTGCAATAACAAAATTTGGGCCTTCCTTTATGACATAAATATTGATCGGCAGACAGATGTTCTTAAAACATAGCTGCGACAATTATAACTTTATTGAATATAAATAGTCCAATTAACTCATCAACTAATTACATTTAATTCTAAATAACAACCAAATTTGTTAAATTTCATTATTTCATCAATTCATCATACATTATTACATTAGTAGAGTAGTAGTACTACTACAAAAAAAATTTATTTTGGGCCCTCCAATTTTTTGGGTCCTGTGCGGTCGCACACCCTAAACTCCCTCTGGGCCAGCCCTGGTTGCACATATGCTAGCATCATTCGGATTTTTGCAAATATATATTAGTCACTGTGTTTAATTAATTTTTGGGTCACTGCGTAAGAACTCAAACTCCCTGACATAACATTTCTCCTAAATTATGTTTTATTGTCCTCGTAATTCTGTTTACCAGCTAATTGATGATCAACTCGTTATACTTCGGGGAAATGTTTTCTCTAGTCGGAAATACTTTCTTGAGGCCAATGTCCACGCGTCTTGAGCTAGTTTATTTTATTTGTTACATGTTGGCTTTTTGAACTAGGTGTCTCATGCTTTGTTATTTTTCGACATCATGCAACTAGTTCTATTTATTTACTTGTATACGTTGATGATATTATCATCACGGAACAATGATGTCATTCTCAAATTTCATGTTCAGCTGGCTCAACATTTTTCTTTGAAGGATCTCGACCCTACTTCTTATTTTTTTGGCATTGAACTTCTCTCCCATAAATTTGGTGTGTTTATGAATCATCGGAAATATATTATTGATATTCTTGGTTATATAAAGATGGTCGATGCCAAGCCTCTTTCCACTCTCATGGTATCCTACCCTTTATTAACAAAAACGGCAGGTCATGTGCTCACAAACTTGATGATTATCGTGTGATAGTTGGTAAATTACAGTACCTTACAATCACACGTCCGAACATCGCTTGTGTTAATAAATTCTCCGAGTATATGCATGAAGAGCGCACTGATCATTGGACAATTATCTTCAAGACTTCATTTGAATGCCTTCCCGATTGAAGTTTTAGTTGAAATTTGGTATGATTAACTAGACTTAATGAATAAGATGCTAAACACATTTCATCAAAAAATTCCACCGGAAACCGCCCCAAATGGCGACGGCCGGACAGAGCCTCCTATATAAGGACTTATTTGACCCTTTTTATGCAACTTCGATGACCAATCTGACCCTTTACTCATTTCTTAATGTTCATTCATTGACTACCTTAGGCAATATGGTAGAGAATGTAGCATCGACTTATAAGTCACTTACAGATTCTTTTGCATGAAAAAAAATAAAAACCTAAACATATATAGATCGTTTTTTACACTTAAAAGAGCATTTTGAAAAATAAATTGAATAATTAGCTAGGTTTGATCACATAAATAGGCCGGAAGGAGTTAATAAGTAACAAGTAGCTTGGGAGTTGAAGAATATACAAAAAAATTATTCCTCCATACTAATTTGAGACAATTCGCTAAATATATAGGGTTAAAAATTTTAAAGCAGGACATAATTCATAAATAAGATTTCATATCATGATCTTATTTTTAATATAAGACTCATTCACTCATAAGTTGAGAAGTTTTAGTCGAACTTTTTCTTTCCATAGGACTAAATAAGTGATAGGTAAGAAATAAAACATACTTATAATTCTAATAATTTTGAATTTTGTCTATGTTTTGATCCTATATTGAGCAATTTATATACTAATTTCCTCAGTCGGGGCATGAAATGCAAATTAAAAACATTTGCCAAAAAAACATTCTTGGTTATCATCTAAATCAACATCAATTATTAAAATTTATTGATAAGGAGGATTAATAGGGAGGATTTAACTTTAACATTCATTGACCAAAATATGGTGACTTTGCAAAACAATTTGGAACGGAGGTAGTATAAATTTAACTCCTCAAATCCTCAATCTGTAGAAGTCGGCCAAGATGTATTTGAATGTGGAGTGAGAAAGTAAAAGCATGTAAATGATATATGTATAGTTGATGGAAAACCAATTTTATGCACAACTAGTATTGTACCCGTGTGATGCACGGGAAACATGTTATTATTTTAAGGAATATAAACATTAAATTTATAGGAAATTTAATTAAAGAAAAAAATAAATATTTAGCACGAAAGTGCGCAATTAAAGCATAAGAAATAAATGTTTACAAATTTTGAAAAAACATCTTGATATACATATTTGTTGTTACATTAGTATTTCTACATTTTTATCAAATATGAGATCAAAGAAGATTTTCGCACAAACAAATCAACAATAGAAAAAGATTGTCCTTGATTTTTATTTATCACCATTGCGTACAAAATCATTAGTGAAATTGTCATCTTTGAAATTTGAATGACAATCTAGATATCAGTGAGTCAAAGTCCCTTTTTACTATCAATACATTTTCATAAGTGCTTATTCCTGTCATAATTTTTGTTGTTTCGAGTGAATGATCAATACCTTATTTTGGTTTCAAATAAAGTTCCTCGTTTGACTTTACAGTTTTTAAGGAAGTGAAATCTTTACTTTCTACTTTACCATTATATGAGAATAACTTTATATCAAAAACATTCCAGAAATAGAAGAGAGAATTTATTTTAGACCTACCAAAAAGAAAAATGAGAACTTAATATAAGACCAAATGAGTACAATTAATTAGAATAATCTTAAAAATATTTTATTGTCGCTTCACTTAAAGTATAAATTTCATGAAAATATGTTCCACATTGACATTATTCATATATTTATATTTTTTGTAGTTGAAAAGGAAAAAGGATGATTCAAGAGTTTTTAATTATTGTATAATATAAATCCGAGATAAAAAAAATTATGCCAACCAAACAAATACACTTCACAAAAAATCAAACCCGCTTATTCCCATACATACATAGGGGTGGACTGGGCACGGGTCGGGCCGGGCTCCGGGTCGTGCTGGGGTGGGCTCCAATCAAAATTATTCAGGCCTGGTACCGGCCCGGGTCAGGTATATTTTTTTTTGTGTTTTTGAATTAATTCAAATCCCCCCACCCCCAAACCGCCCAACCCACCCACCTAGCAGCCAGCCTAACCCGAAAAAATTAAAAAAACAAATTGGGCCCAGACCGGCCCCGGCCGAGCCTCTCCATCATTTAGCAAGCCCGTAGCCCGCCACATTAAAGACCCGGTTCGGGCCCTAGTCCCCGTCCCGGCCAGCCGGGCCAGTCCGGTACAACACAGTAATGGGGAGGGCCGAACCAGCCTAGTCCACCCCTATACATATATACTTCGGCCATACAATTACACAGGGGTCAAATTTAAAATTCCTTCTAGTTGGGACAGCCCAAAGTAAGAGCCCAAAATTAACACATGAATGCAATTCCTCCGGTGTAGCCAAATTCTGGAATGCTGACTTGCCGACAATCGTCTTCATTTACCAAACTGTATGCTATTGCGATGGATTACCATTGATCACCACACTTTTATCACCTGACTCATGGTGCAAGTATCCAACCGGTGATCAGTCAATCGTATTCCACGGTTCTCACTAATTCCAAACAATTTGAGTTCTTCAATTCATTTAAGAAGATACAAATACGGAGTAAGGGTTTTTACTTGAATTCCATGTGTCTTGGTTTATTTAAGGTGTGGGTTTTGTAGTTCCCTTCGTTTTAATTTTGTATAGAAGGCCAGATTCATGAGAATGGCGACTTCTGCTGCTCCTCATTCAGAGAAAGGCCGTGAGGAAGAGTTCATATAGATTACAAAGATAAGTTTGGAATGTACAATTTGATAGCGTAGTATCATTCCTTCTATTGTAATGAAATAGACCAAATTATATGATTGATTATCTATGTTTTAAAATGTCAAGAAATGTATGAATATTCTCTCAAAGATATACGCAGTCTTACCCCTGTACTAAAAGGCAGAGAGTACTAAAGGGCAGAGAGACTATTTCCCAATATTCTCTCAAAGATAAACGAAACAATTTTTTTACTTACTCATTTCTCTAATTAATATCGTTCTTTATTTTCTAACATAAGAGTGTTCTTTATTTTCTGAAGTGCACTTCACCGGTGCATTTTAGTTAGTACTTATCAATTATCATTTGCACACACTGCTTAGATTTCAAAATTATCCTTGAAACAACATGCATTATTTGTGATAAGTTGTTAATTCGTATAAAATAAGTACATATTAATTACTAATTAGACACCAGAGAATTATTTAAAAGAGGCAATAGAACTAAATAACCATTATGTAACGCTAATCTAAAAGGCTAATAAATTTAATATAAAAAAAATTTAGACTTGTGTCATAAATTATTAAAATATTTAACATTTTT